GAACCCTAAACCCCAAACCCTAAACCCCAAACCATAAGCCCTAGACTGTATGCCTGATACGCTAAACCCCAAACCGTAAACCACAAACCCTAAAACCTAAACCCAAACCCTAAACCCTAAACCCTAAACCCTAAACCCTAAACCCTAAACCCTAAACCCTACCTTGAGAATTGTATAAACATGACAAGTGCTGCAGAGCCGCAGAAACGTCTCCAGCTGGCTAGGGTTTACACGCAGCTCTCCGGGCACCAGAAGTGACTGTACATACACCACAAACCCTAAGCCCTAAACCCTACACCCTAAACCCTAGAAGCAATGTGCGCCCACGCAAAACCACAAACCCTAAACCCTAAACCCTCAACGCTGCAGAGAGAGAGAGAGAGAAAGGAGGTTTACGTACCCCTCGGAGGTTTATAGATATGACATTCTTCTTCCTGTTGTAACAACACACCCACAAACCCTAAACCCTAAACCCTAAACCCTAAACCCNTAGGGTTTAGGGTTTAGGGTTTAGGGTTTAGGGTTTAGGGTTTTGAGGGTTTACTTTCTAGGGGCCAGGCGCGGGGGTCTAGCAGCAGCAGAGAAATAAAAAAAATGTATAAAACACCAAAAAAGGGTTAGCAGCAGTATAGCGACCCCCCAATACCCCCCTTCAATCATCCTCTAAACCCTAAACCCTAAACCCTAAACCCTAGCTAAACCCTAAACCCTAAACCCTAAACCCTTGCACGTAATACGAAAGGGGGGCAACTGCACACCGCCAAAGAAAGAACAGCAAACAGAGAAAAAACAGATAGGGTTTAGGGTTTAGGGTTTAGGGTTTAGGGTTTAGGGTTTAGGGTTTGCGGTATATAGTAAGACAAGCCAGCTACAGAGACCGCCTCGATTTAGGGTTTAGGGGGTGTAGTTTAGGGTTTAGGGTTTAGGGTTTAGGGTTTTTGGTTGTGTAACTGTATATAAGTGTAAACATAATAACTAGGGTTTATAAGAATCCTAAACCCTAAACCCTAAACCCTAAACCCTAGATGTCGAGCACTCTGCATGCTGAGTGGCT